CACTGCGATTTAGTGCGATTTTAGGCGATTTAAGAAAAAATTCTAAATTTTAGGGATTGCAATTTAGGTGTTTTCAAAGGAATTGAATTCTATATTTTGCTCCGGTTTCCTCCCTCAGGGCAAAATTGGCAGAGTGGGTTAGGATAAACACAGTTAGGAAAGTAATATCATATCTTCATTGTTGTAAAGACAAATAGTCTAGGCTAACATAAGTAATCATAGTACTTGATGTAATCGATCACTGAAAAACCCCAATGTGGGGAGTGAGCTGAATAATAATGTAATGTTTCCACACACATATGCATTGTATGAAGCAAAATACAATTATTAGAACATGTATGTACATTTTATATAAAGCTAGGTTAACTATTGTATTTAACCTGATTCACATATAAAGCTCAATATTCATGAACTTTTCACCAATTCTCTATTTAGAAGCCATTGGGGTTCATCTTGGGGGTCATAGCAGGGTGTTAGCTAGCCCATATGCTGTCCGTTTGACGGACTCTTCCCAATTGAGGGCTTTCCCAACTGGGTCTACTGGAAAATTAGCATGTGTCCCCCAAAATTTTAATGGTCGGGCGAAAATCAATGCGAAATTGGTCGAAATTGGGGAAATTTTTAAATTTCAATATTCTGTGGAAAAATTTTCGGATTTGGCGGAAATTACGGAATATTTCTTTGATATCTCCTGAAAATTTTTTTTGGTGACCCCCCACCCCCACCCCCCTCCCGCTCGCCAAGAATTTTGGGAAAAATATTCAGCTAAGTCCAGTTAAAACTTTCCCAATTTACGTTTAACGGACAAAATTTTTTTTTCTGGCTAACACCCTGCATAGCTACATTTATATACACCACAAATATTGTAAACAGTTAATATACTCTACTTAAGGGGCATGCACTACACATATCGAGTTAAAATTGCAAAATATAATAAATATTTGATTTCAAAAAAAATCACAAGGGGTAGGGGGTAGAAACACACAATGTATTTATACAGTATAACTGAATAGGCTATAATCCCATAATTTACCTTGTCACCCTTGTAAGTGAAATTGTCTTGTTTTGTATCATGTCAAAACTTCTTTATTTAGCTTGCATTTTATTTAAACTGTTTAAATCTCGTGCTTTCTTCATGCTACAAACATATTTATAATTTTTTTGATATCTACATCATATGATATCCCAGTTTTATCCCAGTGCCATATCCAGAAACAGTGTCGTCACGCATTCGGAAACTGTCGGAGTAATGCCGTAATGTTTAAATTACATGAAGTATATCGTATATAAATGGTAGGAATTCTAAATTATTTTAAAATTAAAACCAAAATAGTACAGTGTTAATTGTTAAACAAATGGCGCACTACATCGTGGTTTTAGGTTCTGCAAACAAACAACACCAAAAGATCTATTGTATGGTATGTAAGATGTAATCATTGTTTTACTGTTTATTGTATTTACAGGTCTGGAAAATTTAATAGACGAGAGTTGCAAATCGCTCATATAAACCTCACGTATATTTTTCGTTTGATAGCCACTATAATTATAACTAGGAGCTAGAGTATAACCATGCACATGTCGAAGTACAACCATTGTATACAATGCAGTGCTCGATCTTACATGCAACAGTGCACAAATTACACGATGACTTTATTATATAAATCAACACTCGTACTCATTGACTTTCGTAGTTTCCTACTGTTGTTCTAATTAATGCCTGGTTCACACTGGTCGTAAGAATCGGGGATTTCCATTGTCTGTGATCATTGGTGTGTAAAATGCTTTCTCTGTCGGAAAAGAATACAATAGATCGTCGATGAATTACGATCAGTGTGAACCAGGCTTAAAGCCTGGTTCACATGTGTCTGCGATGTTTTCGGCGGGCTATTGTCTTAGCAGTTCAACCAAATAATTCACAAAAGAATGCATCAACAGCTGTAAACAATGAGGTCACAGGCATATCGCAGACATGTGAACCAGGCTTAACAGCAATGTAGTTAGATTATAGATTAATTTGTTGACCAGCCTCCATAGTCCATATAAATTGTAGCCCAGTCTCCATTTACACCAATAATGAAATTAGCTCATTCTGGTAACTAGCTCAATTTTGTTGCTTGCAGTGTATCGGATCTATGGGTCTTTCAGATCCCAGAATTACCTAATTATTGTAAAGTCTGCATAAAGCAGAAAAGGGTCTGTTTTTGTCAATGACCGGTGCCTATCGAGTGACCAAATATTGTCAGCCTAATCCACTTATTTGATTGCTAATTCATGTTGCATTACTTTCATTGCAAAGCACCTGGATTACATGATTTGCCTGTAAAATAGCAGCAATTGATAAACTTGAGTACATGGACTGAATGTATCAAGCAGAATGCATGTTGGCGATTTTAAGCGATCTTAGGCGATTTTAGGCGATTTAGGAGAAATTCGACAATTTTAACCCCCGATTTAGTGCATTTTAGGCGATTTAGGGCGATTTAAGGCGATTTACCGCCCCAGAGTAGGCCTTTGATACAAGTAATAGAGAAAAAATATTACAACTAAGACTGTTAAATTGTTCTACAGGTTTTTTCCTTGACCGTATATATGTATGTAGGTTTGCTAAATAATGTTGAACAACACGCAAATAGCGATTATAACAACGGCTTTGACATCCCGGGATTAGCAACTGCTTATTTCTGTTGCGATATTTTTTATTTCTGTTTGGAAACTTATTGCTCAAAACGAGCCATCAAAGTTAAAACGAATTTCAATTGCGTGTTGAAAATAAGAGAGGGACTCAACTCACAACGTTGCTACATGGTTGTAAGGCAAAAATTTTTCTACCGTACCGGGTTCGAACCGGTGACCTAAGGAATACTGATTTGGTAATAACTACAGTCCTTTGCTCTACCAACTGAGCTAACGGTAG